TTTGGGGGGGCCCTTGCAAGCCCCCACCCCACCCCTTGGCTTCCCCCTGTTGTATCAGCCTCCCCTCCCCTTGTCACCCCTCAGTCCTGGATCCTTCCTGGCTCTTCCGCGGGACATGGGGGCACAGGGGAAGACACAGTCCATTCACTTGGTCACACTCCCCCCCCAGAGGCTGGCCGGGGGGGGGAGCTCTTGTGCACGAGTGGCCTATTGTTCGGTCAGCGAGAGGTGCAGGATTCGCTCAAATTCCTCCTCCTCCTGGCGCGAACGCCGCTCCGCTTCCTCTTGCTCTTTTGCCGACAGCTCCATGGCCAGGCGGAGTTGCTCGGCGTAGCTGGGCAGGGCCCGGCTGGTGGCTGGCGCTCCTCGCTGTGGGGTGGCAGGCCGGGGCGGTGGTGTGTGCTGCGGGGTCCTGCGGAGGGGGGGCAAAGCAAAGGGATGGAAGCATGAGAAATTCGGGCAGGTCAAGGTTGCAAAATTCAGATGAAAACCCGGAGCGGATGGCCTACTTCTCCCCTCCTCCCCCGCAAGACCCAAGTCTCCGGCTTCCATCAGGGCACACCGCCAAAGCTTGCAAAAGTTAAGCCTTTTTCGTGTTAAAACATGTGACACAAAACCAAGCGAGACAGTCAAGACCTGCAAAGGCAGTGATAAAAATCCAGGATTTCCTTGCTGGAAAGGAAAAAAAACAGCAAAACTTTTTAAAGAACATGAAATTTGGTAGAGAATAAGGCGAATGTTGAAGGAGGAAGAGCCAGCAGGGTGATTTGGTGGCAAAAAGGCCAAACACAATTCCCAACTTAGTTCGTATCATTCTCATCTCAAAGACACAGGGAGTGTCAGAGTTCTGCCTTAATACACTGGAACGGGTCCTCTTTCGATACACTCAGGATGTGCTGGAGGACTACAACTTCCATTATCCCCAGACACATATCTGGGCACACTTTTAACCAGGTGGATTACATATATGACCATGGCCTGTACTGGGAAGAAATTTCTCTTCCCAACGGCAGCTTTCAGAAGTCAGTGCCCCTATCAGGTCCTCTACTCACCTTTCGACTCTACGTCCTTCCTGAGAGACAGGGAGGGTGCCAGGCTTGCTGTTGGTCAGTGCTTCCCAAATGGTCACCTGCACAGGGAGGAGAAAGGCAGGTCTGGTAGAAGGAACTGGAAGACACCTGAGTTGCTTACCTGTACATCTGAACACTGAAACAAGATAGCTGTGGAGTGGGGAGTCTGAAACTATCCCCTGCGGGTCTCTCTCATTTGTGCAAACTGTCTCTTACCAAACCTTTCTGACTGAGAAGCAAAGCGCCCTCAATCACTCACACACATCCAAGCCCAGAAAGAGTGGCAAATGATTTTTAAAAGACAAAAACACTTGATCAGATGCTTTAAAGGCCACAAACAACCCATTCAATGCTTTAAAGGCCACAAACAACCCATTCAATGCTTTAAAGGCCTCCTCCCAAGGCAGATGGGGAAACACCTACTGGGTTGTCCTCCACCCCACCTGGTCATATTCGCTCCCGGCTTCCAGCAAGCTCTGCTCAATGGCAAACTGCAGGAGGTCGTCATCATCTTCTCTCAGGGGCTCCGGATGGCTTCCAACGACGCTGTAACCCCGCGGGGCCTCGAAGAGGGACGGATCCATCTCACAGCACCGGCACAAGCCTTAAGAGAACGGAGAGGGAACGGTGAGGAGCCATCACCCATCGCGAGGGGAAGGAGAAAGACAGGATGAAACGGCCAGAATCCTACTCACGCTTGTGTGGTATTCCCCCAGATTCCGGCACACAAGTCCCATCATCCCCAGCCAAGATAGAGAGGTTCCCCGGGGGCCCTCCTTCGGAGGTCGGAGGACCAAGAAAACACCAGCCTCTGTTCCCTTCAACGTTGCTATTTTATTTTAGTTAT